GCTACTCTGAAGAAAATGAAGTAAGATAATGAAATGGAGGGGATCAGGACGTGGAGTAGTATAGTTGGGTGGCCAAGAAACCCTCTTTGCTATAGTGGCATTTGACCTAAAACCTAAATGGCAAGAAAGGGTTACTCATGGAAAGATTTGGGAGTTAAATGATCCAGGTCAGAGAAAAGGCTCTGAATGGGAAAATATGGTTTGCTTAGGCAACAAAAAAAGAAGCCAGTGAGTGAAGTTGGGTGGGGTTGGCCCAAGATGAGACGGAGAAGTCGACTGCAGCCAGGTCAGAAAGGGAAACAGTGGAAAGGAGATTGGCCTTTATTCCCAGTACAATGTGACTCTCTTGCAAGGTGTTGTGCAAGAGAGTGACATGGTCTGATTGGCATTTGTAAATAAATCATGTTGGCAGCAACACATACTGCTTTCAACAATTGCGATTCTGTGTCTCTCTGTGATTGAGTATCTTCCTGTGAGGCAGAAGGAAACAATGTATTCTGTAGAATGGTCGATTTAAAATTTGTTTTGGAAGAGCTGTTGTGTCAGATAATCAGAATAGGATGGCAATACAAATTTAAGCTTTGCTTGTAGCTAACCTGTGTCTAGTCAGTGAAGAAGCTCGGCCACTTGTTGGTCATTGCCCATCTTTTTTCTCTGTTGTTCAGATAATATTGACGACGTCTTCATGAGAAGTGACCTGCAGCTTCCTTTCTTCCTTACTCTCTCCCTTCCCTCCTTGTAACCACCCTTCTAATGCGGGAGGCATTCTGTTGTCTGTCAATTGGTGCTCTTTTCGCTATGCAGATTCATCCTGTTCTGCATTTATTTTCTGGGCACTGACTTCCTCTCTTTTGGCACCGATTTTATTGTCTGCTTATGAAGTCCTCCAGCTGTTAGAGACCAGCCTGGCCAACGTGGCGAAACCCCATCTCTACTAAAAATACAAAAATTAGCCAGGTGTTGTGACACATGCCTTTAATCCCAGCTACTTGGGAGGCCAAGGCAGGAGAATCCCTTGAACCCAAGAGGTGGAGGGTGCAGTGAGCCGAGATAGGGCCACTGCCCCCCAGCCTGGGCAACACAGCAAGACCCTATCTCAAAATAAAATAAAATAAAATTTAATTTCTTCCAGTTAGCAGAATTCAAAGACTATAATGGGAGGAGATCTGAATCTGAACCCAGGAAATACTTGCTGCTGGCTTGCATAGTAGCTGTGAGCCAGACTTACTCACCAGGGAATTCCCAGAGAGGAAGCTGTGCTGCTGAGAGGTGACAATGTGCTGGCAGCCCTCGCTCGCTCTGGGTGCCTCTTCGGCCTTGGCGTCCACTTTGGCCCTGCTTGAGGAGCCCTTCAGCCCGCTGCTGCACTGTGGGAGACCCTCTCTGGGCTGGCCAATGCTGGAGCCAGCTCCCTCTGCTTGCACTGAGGTGTGGAGGGAGAGGCGCCGGCGGGAACTGAGGGGCTGTATGCAGCGCTTGCAGGCCAGCGTGAATTCCGGGTGGGTGTGGGTTTGGCGGCCCCGCACTTGGAACTGCCGGCCAGCGTCGCCATCCCGGGCAGTGACGGGCTTAGCACTTGAGCCAGCAGCTGCGGAGGGTGCGCCAGGTCTCCTAGCACTGCCAGCCTTCTGCACAGTGCTTGAATTCTCCCGAGCCTCAGCCGCCTCCCCGTGGAGCAGGGCTTGGGACCTGCTAACAACCATGCCCAACACTGCCCCCCTACCCCCGTGGGCTTCCTTGCGACCCTAGCCTCCCTGAGAGGCGCTGCCCTCTGCTCTGTGGTGCTGGATCCCATGACCACCCAAGGGCTGAAGCGTGTAGGCGCACTTTGTGGGACTGGTAGGCAACTCCGCCTGTGGCTCCAGGGTTGGGGTCCACTAGGCGAAGCCAGCTGGGCTCCTGAGTTGGGTGGGGACTTGGAGAACTTTTATGTTTAGCTGGAGGATTGTATATGGACCAATCAGCACTCTGTCTGGCTCTGGTTTGTGGATGCACCAGTCAGCACTCTGTATTTAGCTAATCTGGTGGAGACTTGGATAACTTTTATGTCGAGCTGGAGGATTGCAAATGCACCAATGAGCACTTTGTGTCTAGCTCAAGGTTTGTAAATGCACCGATCAACACTCTTATGTCTAGCTCAAGGTTTGTAAACGCACCTATCAGCACCCTGTATCTAGCTCAAGGTTTGTAAACGCACCTATCAGCACCCTGTCAAAACAGACCAATCAGCTCTCTGTAAAATGGAATAATCAGCAGGATGTGGGTGGGGTCAGATTAGGGAATAAAAGCAGGCTGCGGGATCTAGTAGTGGCAACCTGCTAGGGTTGCCTTCCATGGTGTGGGAGCTTTGTTCTCACTCTTTGCAACAAATCTTGCTGCTACTGGCTCTTTGGGTCCGTGCCACCTTTATGAGCTGTAACACTCACTGCGAAGGTCTGCAGCTTCACTCCTGAAGCCAGCGAGACCACGAACCCACCAGAAGGAAGAAACTCCGGACACATCTGAACATCTGAAGGAACAAACTGTAGACACACCATGTTTAAGAGCTGTAACACTCACCGTGAGGGTCTGCGGCTTCATTCTGGAAGTCAGTGAGACCAAGAACTCACCAATTCCGGACACACTGCCTCCACCTATGGGCACTCCTCCTCTCTCTGCTCTGTTGGTACCTGTTATAGGACAGCTGGTGTGATTTGGGGACATCTGAAACTGTTGAAGTGACACGCTCCCACAGAGCAGCTGGTGGCTATAAGCGTCATCCTTGGTGGAGGCAGGGAGCATAATAAATATGTCAAAGATACAAGGACGGAAACCTAGCAGATCAACATTGAGAAATAGGGATAGGATGGGGAAAAGTGAAACTTAGAGGACACAAAAGAGAGCCTTCTAATTTCATGTGAAAAAATAGGAAATGAATGATGGAGTAGGGACTGGGGAGAGGAACAGGATATTCACATCTGTGCCCATTCACTGTATTCATAACACTTAAGAGTCCAAGTCTGCCACAGCCCTCTCAGCAAGTGGGCTTGTGCACATGGTGGCACAGCTTTCAAACAGGGCTCTCCTCTGGTTCCTGATTAGCAGCAAAACATTAATCAAGTGTGATTTTATGTGCCCACCTTTCTCCTACAGGGCCGTATACTAACCTGTGCAAACATACCCCAAAATCTGTCAGCCCTGAATAATGCCTCTGAACTTCTCTTTTTTCTTTCTTCCATTTTTTTGGTACCCTGTACCCCTGTGTACCATGTTTACCTTGGAGGCCAGGTGAAGTAAAAATTAAAATAACTAGGCCAGGAGTGGTGGCTCACACCTGTAATCCCAGCACTTTAGGAGGCTGAGGTGGGGGGATCACGAGGTCAGGAGATTGAAACCTAAATACAGTGAAACCCCGTCTCTACTAAAAATACAAAAAAATTAGCCAGGTGTAGTGGTGTGCACCTGTAGTCCCCGCTGCTGGGAACACTGAGGCAGGAGACGAGCATGTACCCGGGAGGCGGAGCTTGCAATGAGCCAAGATTGCACCACTGTATTCAAGCCTGGGTGACAGAGTACTCTGTCTCAAAAAAACAAAAAAACAAAAAACAAAAAAAAGACTGCAAATGAACCTAATTATATTACATATGCTATCTCTATATATAACTATAGTGAAATACATTAAAAAACAAACGTGATATAGCAATAAATATGCATTTTATTAACATGTTAAACAAGATCTGATGTGCATAATTTCCATTATATTGAAACAGGATAAGCATATTTTGAGATATCTGGACCAATGGTAATGTGTCCGGAATTGGTGGGTTCTTGGTCTCACTGACTTCAAGAATGAACCCACACACCCTTGTGGTGAATGTTATAGTTCTTAAAGATGGGGTGTCTGGAGTTTGTTCCTTCAGACGTTCAGATGTGTCTGCAGCTTCTTCCTTCTGGTGGGTTCGTGGTCTCACCGTCAGGAGTGAAGCTGCAGACCTTCGTGGTGAGTGCTACAGCTTTTAAAGGCAACGGGTCTGGAGTTGTTCTTCCCGGTGGGTTTGTGGTTTCTCTGGTTTCAGGAATGAAGCTGCGGACTTTCACAGTGAGTGTTACACCTCATAAAGGCAGCGTGTACCTAAAAAGTAAGCAGCAGCAAGATTTATCACAAAAAGCAAAAGAACAAAGCTTTCCTAGGGTGTGTAAGGGGACCCCAGCAGGTTGCCTGGCTGGCTCGGGCAGCCTGCTTTTATTCCCTTATCTGGCCCCACCCACATCTTGCTGATTGGTCCACTTTACAGAGAGCTGATTGGACCATTTTGACAGAGTGCTGACTGGTGCCTTTACAATCCTTGAGCTAGACACAGAGTCACAGAATGCTAGTTGGCTAGATACAGAGTTAGCTAGATACAGAGTACCAATTGGTGTATTCACAAACCCTGAGCTAGACACAGAGTGCTGATTGGTGTATTTACAAACCTCGGGCTAGACACAGAACGCTGATTGGTGCAGATACAATCCTCTGGCTAGATACAAAAGTTCTCCAAGTCCCCATCCAGTTCAGGAGCCCAGCTGGCTTCACTCAGTGGATCCTGCATGGGGCTGCAGGCGGAGCTGCTTCCCAGTCCCCAGCCGTGCCTGCACTCCTCAGCCCTTGGGCTGTCGACGGGATCAGGCGCCATGTAGCAGGGGACTTCGCGCGTCGGGGAGGCTCAGGCCGCAGGGGAGCCCACTGCAGGGGGAGGAGCTCAGACATGGTGGGCTGCAGATCCCGAGCCCCGCCCCGTGGGGAAGCAGCTAAGGACGAGCAAGAATTTGAGGGCAGCGCCGGCGGGCCGGCACTGCTGGGGGACCCCGGGCAACCTCCGCAGCTGCTGGCCCTAGGTGCTAAGCCCCTCACTGCCCTGGCGGCTTTGTGTGCGGGGCCCGCCGAGCCCGCGCCCGCGACCGCGGGAACTCACAATGGCCCCGCGAGCGCAGCCCTGGTTACCGCCCGCGCCTCTCCCTTCACACCTCCTCTCAAACAGAGGGCGAAGGCTCTGGCCTCAGCCAGCCCAGATTGGGGTTCCCACGGTGCCGTGGCGGGCTGAGGGACTCCTCAAGTGCCGCCAGAGTGGACGCCAAGGCTGCTAGCACATTGTCATCTCTCAGTAATATGGTATAAAAATATCTGTGATTTCCATTGGTGACAAAGTAACAGGTACCATTGATTCCATTATACTTTTTTTGCTTATTCATAGTTAAATAACGTGCTAAACTTCAGTTAGTTGTTAGTAAAAATAAAAATATACATAACCTCCAATCAAATTCATAGACCCCCTGTATTTATCCATGGACCTTGGGTTAAGAGTTAAGAATCTCTGCCCTAGGAGGTCCCTGAGGTAGAAAAATTAGGTGGCCAGCCTATCCATCCTTAAATTGGTACAATGTGCTCTGGTTCTGGGTTTTTTCTCTAGAGTTAATGGATCCCTGAGAATATGGAAAAATTTCGATGATACCTGGAAGCTTAATGTTTTGTGAGCATGTGCTGGGTAATCAATGCTGAAGGATATCACCAGAATCACCTGGACTAAAGTTCACAATCCACAGACTTTTCCAACTGACCTGCTTCCGCAGTGACCCATAATCTTGGCCCTAGAAGAGGCCCCTACAGGATAACTGTGGGCCGTTGTAATTCTTACGTGTATATCAAAATGGCCCCATGGTGGCTACAATCACAGCCTCCAAGCCACAGAAATATTTGTTCACATATCGAATTGTTTCCTTCAAGAAGAAATGAAATTGATTTTGTTCACTACCTATTGAGATGATTACCTCTACACCAGTGTTCATTTGTGAATATCAGGACAAGGTAACCCACATGATATTAGACATGAAGCCACAAATTCTCATGGTTGGGGAAACGATTAATGATGATTATTTCCCCTGAAGTGCAGAGGTACTGCCAGAACCAGTGACCTGCGTCCTGCCCAGGACATCAGACACTTCCTATTGGTGGAGTACAAACTTTTGTAGTCTTCTCTTGTTTTCCTGTTCTCATGCCTTAGCAACTTACTGCTCTGCCCAATATATAACTTTGCTATGTGCTTCAATGCAAAGAAAATAAGTATGAATATTCTGGACTCTCCTTGTATGGATCTGACATGGTACACTCAGGAGGAAATAAGATTATTGGAGGGTTCACATAGGTTGTGTGACTGTGTGGGCTGTTGTAGAGGAGACAGAAGCTTTGGACATATGTTTGTACATGTTCATCTTTTTGGCCACTTTCAGCTATAAAAGTCGTGATTCAGTGATTCTGTGAAATGCTATGAACTGCTATGGTAAAAGGTGCCATGGACACAAAGAGCATTATTATTAGCTTCATTTTTTGAAGTGATGTTATAATCTTTGTTCATTTTCAGTTTTATTCATTTGAGCTTACTGAATTTTCTCACCATCTCTTCTTTTGTATTATCACAATATCTAACAGCTTTAATCAGCCAATTTGTCTTGACAAAAATTACATGCATGGCTGTCCCTATTCATAGCACTGTTTTGTTTTTTAAATCTCCATTTGGCCATAGCCTCCCTCTCAAAGTAATACCCCATATGTATATTCAATCCTACTGTTTTGATTTTGCCAAAAGTCCCCTTATCTGTTTTTCACAAGCAGAACCTGCTTTAATACTCATTGTCTGAGAGTACGTTAATCACTCCATATTCATGTGGAACTCATAGGTAGCTCCAATATCAGCTTCAAAGTGAACCAGCATTACTTAATGGAGTCTTTAAATAGATTATTAGAAGCAATTTTATTCCCTTGTGCTATTTAGTTTCATGCTCCTATTTTATCAAGAATATTTCATTTTACCTGGCCTTGTCAGACTTTATTAGAGAGGGAGTGCATTAATAAGTTAAAAGTCTTCGTCAATATGAGAATCTTACATGAAGCTTCATGTTTTGCCTACCTTGCAATTATCTGGAATACTGGGCATATATCTGCTTTTAAATTGGTTACACTGCTTTTTTGTTGGTCAGACCTTCAGCTCTATTGTTGCAAAGCTCAAATTCTCTGGACTTCTAATGAGTCACCTTAAGAGAATTTATAGTATGTATTTCTCACCTTGAATTGGTATTTTAGATTTTGATTTGGGAAATGACAGTGCTTGTACAAATTTCTAAGCCACTTTGACCGTGATCTCTACAGTGCTACAGAGTAGTTGGTTGGGGCCTTATAAATTAGAGAGAGCAGGTCTGTTGTCACGTTTTGCCTCCAAAAGTAAAAATGCAAACTGGCCAATGAATGCTTTTTTTGGTTTTTAAAAAAATCAGTCCCAGGTTGGTCAAAGGAATACTGAAGGTACAGATATTTTGGAGGGTTTTCATTTTTTAATGCAGTTTGTTTGAAAAGGATCAGTATGTAGTACCCTGCCCCTGAAATCTTTTACTTAGCTTTTTCTCTTTGATCAGTTAAAATCAGAGGACTTGCCCTTTGTCATACTCTATGATATTTTATCAAGAACTACCCTCAAATTACAGCACGTGTTGAGATTCTGTTCCTGGGTCTACTTCTCATAGAAATTCTGCTTAACATTATTCAACTTCAATTTATGTACATGAAAAATTAGATTTCAAATGCCTATCTTTGGATTATTGAATTATTTTGGGTACACATCTAAAGCAAATAAGAAACAGCCAAAAGTTAAAATGAAATAATTTTGTTACTACTCACTGTTTAGTGTCATGTTTCTCTGCTTTTTCCATGATTATGAATAATTTTTTTGAGATGGAGTCTCACTCTGTCGCCCGTACTGGAGTGCAGTGGCACAGTGTCGGCTCACGGCAAGCTCCGCCTCCCGGCAAGCTCCGCCTCCCAGGTTCACACCATTCTCCTGCCTCAGCCTCCCCAGTAGCTGGGACTACAGGTGCCGACAACCATGCCTGGCTAATTTTTTTGTATTTGTAGTAGAGACCGAGTTTCACAATGTTAGCCGGGATGGTCTCCATCTCCTGACCTCGCGATCCTCCCGCCTCGGCCTCCCAAAGTGCTGGGATTACAGGTGTGAGCCACCACACCTAGCCGATCCTGAATAATTTATGTCTATTTGTGTGTCAATATTACAGAGGATAGATATTTTAGAGATAAGAAAGTAGGATAATTTAACTATGAATATTAATCTGAGAATGACTACTTAATTCCTTAGATCTTCAGTTTTCCTATTTACGCACAGGAACAAAGACACAAAGACAGGCATATTTAGTTCTAAGAATAGCTGTGTTTCCCTGAATTTGTCTTTAATTAATTGCTGGCAAATCAAATGATATTTTTAGTACCTGGAGGTGGGATGTGGAGGTGGTATGCTGTTTAAAAAAATATTTTAATGAATTTAACAAATAACCCCCTAATACATCTGTTTTTATAAGTTTGTATTTTTAAATAATGGGTTTTGGTAGAAGAATTATTGAAGTTTTATAAATGATGTCATGTTTTACATGCTCTAGGGGGGCACTCTTATTGAAATTCAATGTTATATTGAGCACTTCTATAAATACATTTTCTGATTCATTTCATAATTTGTATTTTTGATAAATTCAATTTTTATAAATCAGTTTTTCTTAAAGTAGGGCACAGCTGGATTACTCTTCTTTTTCCTACAGATGCATAGTGTAGGGTAATTAGTTAATCTCTACAGTGTCCTGAAAAGATGAATAAAACATGGAGTGCTATTCCTATCAATCTCCTCTCTCACCTTTTCTCCTCCTCACCCTCAGGTGGATATGTAGTGGTCGAATAGATGTCAAAGATATGGTTACTGGCTAATTTACTCTTATCTCAAGGCTTGCCAGTGCTCTCTTGGAGAAACATTTTTATTTTATGAAAAGAAAAATAAATAAAAATAACTCAAGTAGAAGTAAAAGAAAACAAGGAAAATAGGAGCTTGAAAATTGCAAATGTATTACAGATAAAAGAACTAACAGAGGAAAAATAAACCTTGAATTTTATGTAATTATTGAATTTGTTTTAAAGCCTAGAGTGCAGTAGAGAGAACAAAGATATAACTTACACTCTTCCATCTCTGGTACACCTCCTCTTCAGGCATGAAGAAATTCTGTATCATCTCTGATGTGTTCTAGAAAACTCTTAAAATGCTCTAGGTTCTGATGTTCAGTCTTAGCTCTCCCTGAACCCTTTGTACCTGAGCTACCAGCATACATAGGCCACACACACACACACACACACACACACACACACACACTTTTTTTTTTTTTTGGACTGTTATTTCTTAACTTGGGCTTTTTTTTTGGGGGGGAAGTAGTGTTCATTTTCTCCACTGTACAAATGAGGATACCACTGATGTCTGAGGCATTTTGTCTCTTCTGATTTTAAAATAAGATGTTTGAAGTTTCTGGAAATATTGCGGCTGAGATGAGGCTCGCTCTTTCCTTTCTGGCTGCTCGAAGCTTTGTGTGGGCTTAAAAGTGGCTCTTGAAGGAAATGGATGTTCCCTAGTGGGAAAAGGCATTAACTTGAAGAGCAAAAGTCAAAGAGCTGACCCTCTGTACCCTGGTTTCTGTCCTGCTTAATCTGTAGGTGTTATAAAAGACTGGGAAATCTGGATTTGGGGTTCTTACTTCTATAGACAGATCATCACCTGTTTCTACAGTTTTCTCAGACCTAAAAACCATGCATGGTTCCATCTAATACTCTTTCCAAGGAACTATTTAGACCATGCCCAGGTTTTGTAGCTTACTATTGTGCAGGGAAATAGACTTCTGTAGGTTGATATTGCCTACTTCCTTTAGGTTATCATATCTTCCGTTTACATCAGCTTATAGAAATGTTTCTGGACAAACGTATCAGTAAGGCTACCATCACTGAGGGAAAAAGCCACTAACAAAAAAATAAAAAATAAATTTGGACCATAAAGGGTTAAGAAATTTGCCAATGGCACTGGAGTCTAGGGAATCACATGGAAGCAGAAATCTTAGGGATCTTGTTTCATTACTGGCTCAAAGTGGGGCCTAGGGCAAGTTGCTTCTCCCCTTTTGGACCCGTATTCTGAGAAAACAGTGATTTTGGTCACTAGGGAAGCACCGAGTATCCAATGCTGTTTTTATTTGTGTTTGATTTTTCAAAAAGAGCTTTGAATTAATTGAGAGAGAATCACATACAACTCATCCATTTAAAATGTACAATTGTATAGTTTGTTTTCTTTTTTTAGCATATTCACAGGGTTGCACAACCATCACGATAATCTAGTTTTAGCATATTTTCATCCCCCTTCAAGGAAACCCTGTACCCGTTAGCAATCAGTCCCCATTTATCTCTCATGTCCTTCCCTCAGCCCTAAGCAACCCCTAGTCTACTGTCTGTTTCTGTGAATTAGCTTATTCTGGATGTGTACCCTAAATATGTACCCTAAATAGAATCATACAATATATGGCATTTGTGACTGGATTCCTTCACTTTGCATAATGTTTTCAAGAGTCAAACATGTTGTAGTGAGTGTCAGTACTTCATTCCTTTTTATGGCTGATTAATACTTTACTGGGCGGGTATACCACATTTTCTTTACCCGTTTATCAGTTGACCACCATTTGGGTTCTTTTCATTTTTTGGCTATTTGTATTGGGATACAAATCCTTTATAACCTATATGGTTTGCAAATATTTTCTTCTATTCTGTGGGTCATCTTTTAGCTTTCTTGAAGGTCTCATTTGTAACACAGAAGTTTTTAATTTTGATGTAGTCCAATGTCCAGTGTTTTCTTTTTTTTTTTTTTGAGATGAAGTTTTACTCTGTCACCAGACTGGAGTGCAATGGCGTGATCTCGGCTCACTGCAACTTTTGCCTCTCGGGTTCAAGTGATTCCCCTGCCTCAGCCTCCCAAGTAGTTGGGACTACAGGCATGTGCCACCATGCCTGGCTAATTTTCTGTATTTTTTGTATTTTTATTTTTTTGAGAGGGAGTTTCGCTGTGTCACCCAGGCTGGAGTGCAGTGGTGCAATCTCGGCTCACTGCAAGCTCTGCCTCCAGGGTTCACGCCATTCTCCTGTTGCCTCCCAAGTAGCTGGGACTACAGGCGCCCACCACCACGTCAGGCTAATTTTTTGTATTTTTAGTAGAAACGGGGTTTCACTGTGTTAGCCAGGATGGTCTCATCTCCTGACCTTGTGATCTGCCCCCCTCGGCCTCCCAAAGTGTTGGGATTACAGGTGTGAACCACTGCGCCAGGCCAATTTTTTGTATTTTTAGTAGAGCTGGGGTTTCACCATGTTGGCAAGGATGGTCTTGATATCCTGACCTCATGATCCACCCAGCTGGGCCTCCCAGAGTGCTAGGATTACAAGCATGAGCCACCATGCCCAGCCCTAGTGTTTTCTTTTGTCACCCATCTTTTGGTGCCAGATCCAGGAAACCACTGTGTAACCCAAGTTTACAAAGACTTATTCCTTATGTTTTCTTATGAGAGTTTTATAGTTTTAGCTCTATGATTGTTTGTTTATCTCTTTTCATTTTAGAGTTCATCCAAACACTGAATACCTTTAAAAAAAAATGGTCAAAATGATTCAATTCCTAGTAGCTCCAAATAATGGAAAAGCTGGCAAGAATTGAGGCATGTGTTGACTATTTTATTTCAGGCAGTTGTATCTTGATTCCATGCTCCCATCCATATTTCCTTGGCTATAATAAGTTTTAACTTTAATTTGTTCTGCCCACATTGCTGGGCAATTTAAGAAATAGTTTTCTTAGTAAAGTCTGAAACTGATAGCTATTATATTTTTCTATGAAATGTTTTGCTCTTTATGTGTTGCCTATACTCCAGTCTATCATCTTCTAAAATCATTTTTCATTTTTCCTTTTCACATGATTTTAAAATGTGCTTTTTTTCAATCTTTTAAAAAATTTCTCACTTTTATTATTATGTCCTGGGAGATTTTTTAAAAACCCTTCATTTTTTGACAGGGCTTTCCCCCCCCCCAAAAAAAAGATAATGTTTTGCTTAATTGTCTTGCAGTATCTACAGCCCTTAATATGTGGTGAGAATTTAATATACATTAAACAGCAAAAGATTTATGCTTGACCTTTTCAGATGGATATCAATTGTATTAGATTTCCTAATTAGCCATTGGTCTAACCTCACTGGTGCTTCAAAATTTAGAAATTGGCCCCCTGAACATGTAAAGCTCTAGTATTAATCTAAATAAGAGAATAACAAGAATGTGAACTTGTGAAGACTTTTAGTGATGGTAATGGCCAGGCTTCATAGTATTAGCCATCGCTTGCAAAACCTTGACCTCCATGTTTCTTACTAGATATGGCCACACATGTTATTACGGGAGCCCTCGGCTTCTCCCCTTCACCTCTAGGGAACCAATTATTTCTATTGTACTTAGAAAAACCGTATCCCATGTAGTGGTTGTCTTCCTGCTTCCCAGGAAATAATCTGCTGGAATTCAAAATACAGTTACCACGCTTGACCACTTTCCTATATCCTGGAGCTGACCATTATTAATGGCATCCAATTATTCATAGCAATCAAACAGCTGACCTTGCTAAACAGATCACAGCAGTGGGTATCTGACAGTCTGCTGGCGGGGCATAATAGAAGGAGACAATGTCATATCCTGGTCCATCTTTAGCGACAACAACATGTCACTTGTAGACTTACTGGAATGCTATAATGACTTGATTGCTAGATTTAGCCTGTCATTATTTTAAAAGCATGTGTTTATATATGCTGGCAGGAACAGGAAAAAGAAGTTGGTTTAGGTAAGCCTGGTGTTTGGGAATGTCTTTGGCTTGCACTGTATCACTGCAGATTAACAGAGTGACCTTTGGTTAATCATTCAGGTTTCCAAGCTTGAATTTGGTCAATTCTAAAATGAGGGCATTTTGCCTACTTTCAAGGGTGGGCATGAGAGTTAAATGATATAATCACGATGAAACAATAAGGTAAGCAGCAGTTGCTCCATCACTGTCAGTTTCCTGTCCATTGAGTCAATCTGCACCTTGGCTCCAGCAGAGATAAAAGGAATAACATACAGATTTTTTTATTCCTCCCCAAGGTGCAGGATGAGTTTTGACTCCCACATGAATGCTGCTTTTTCATTCTGCTTTTTCCACAAGCCCACAAGTCAAAGGTTTTTCTTTATTTTGCTGTGGCATTAAAGTGTGATATTTGTTTGCAGTGAAGGATCTTAAGCATAAAAACTGACATAAATTTCCAGGTGGTTGGCTTTTGACCCTTCCATTTCCTTGACTCTATTTTCCCTTTGAGTTGGCATGATCTATAACAGCTCTGCTCCAACTGCAGAAAGGAGCAAATTGTTTACCTTTGAAAGTATATTAATTCTCTCTTGCCATCAGGAGAGGGGTTTTCACAAGGAACTAACTTTATTTGAATTTTAAGCCAAGCAATTTGAAGGGGGATGGAAAAATGCACACAGTTAATATTCACTAGACTGTCACTGACAGGTCTAATTCAAAGTGACCACATAAAAACTCCTTTATTAGTCCTTTCTACTTGTCACTATGAGATATGCTCTAGTGTCACTTGCATCCCAAGTTTAAAAATCCATACTTTTATAAGTTTGCTAGATTGAAATGAAGATGAAATATTTTCTTTAGAATTTCTTATCTACATTGCTTACCAGTGGTGAAAATGCAGTGCATTTAACTTGCCATGAACCTTATGAAGCATCAAGCAGAACTTACTAAGAGAAATGGGAACTTAATTTTAAAGAAAGTGGCTGAGAGTGTCTGATTAGCCCTGAGGGCAATTGGGAACTTCCTGCTGACCTGTGAAATAGCCTGTAATTCTGCACTGCTGGTGGGCCATATGGCTATACAAATAGGTGAAGGGGGGAAACAGGGGGACCTTGTGGTGGCTTAGGACTCTGGTATATTCAGTCTGTAGGTAGGGCAATTTAGAAAGTGGCCCCGTCTGCTTTGTAGGTAGTAAAATGCCATAGCGGTTAAGGGAATAGACTTAAATCTTGACACACTGAGTTTTTCTTATTTTTTTGAGACAGAGTCTCGCTCTGTCACCCGTACTGGAGTGCAGTGGATCAATCTTGGCTCACTGCAAGCTCCACCTCCCTGGTTCACGCCATTCTCCTGCCTCAGCCTCCCGAGTAGCTGGGACTACAGGTGCCCACCACCACGCCCAGCTAATTTTTTGTATTTTTAGTAAAGAAGGAGTTTCACTGTGTTAGCCAGGATGGTCTCGATCTCCTGACCTCATGATCCACCCGCCTCGGCCACCCAAAGTGCTGGGATTACAGATGTCAGCCACTGTGCCAGGCTGACAGACCTAGTTTTAAATGCTAGCTTTTCACTTTTATCACTACGGTTTTCTTATCTGAGAAATAGCAGTAACTGTCAAGGCTCTTGAAGGCCTGGATGAGATCATACATGCCCTAGTATTCTCTTGCTACATGCAGTGCATTGAATAGTGCCCCCCAAAAGATATATCCAGGTATAAATCCCCAGAACCTGTGAATATGATCTCATTTGCAAAAATGCTCTTTGCAGGTGTAATGAAGAATCTTGAGGTCATCCTGGATTACCAAAGTGGGCCCTAAATCCAGTGGCAAGTGTCCTCATAAGAGACAGACACAGAGCAGAGACCAGGTGAAGACAAAAGAAGAGGCTGGAGTGATACAGTCATCAGGTAAGGAAAACCAACAACTATCAGGAGCCAGAAGAGGCAAGAAACGGAATCTCTTCTAGAGGATCTGGAGGAGTGTGGTTCTGTGAACACCTTGATTTCAGACTTCTGATCTCCAATACTGTGGGATAAAATTCTGATGCTTAAAATCACTTTTGGCCGGGCACGGTGGCTCACGCCTGTAATCCCAGCACTCTGGGAGGCCGAGTCGGGCGGATCACGAGGTCAAGAGATTGAGACCATCCTGGCCAACATAGTGAAACCCCGTCTCTACTAAAAACACAAAAATTAGCTGGGCATGTTGGCTCGTGCCTGTAATCCCAGCTACTCGGGAGGCTGAGGCAGGAGAATTGCTTGAACCCAGGAGGCAGAGGTTGCAGTGAGCCGAGATCGCACCACTGAACTCCAGCCTGGCAACAGAGCAAGACTCCCTCTCAAAAAAAAAAAAAAAAAAAAGGGATTCAAATGACACTCAAACATCTCTCATAATGACAAGGACGTAAGACTAATAAAGGAGTTTTTATGTGGTCACTTTGAATCAGATGTGTCAATGACAGACTAGTAAATATAAACTGTGTGCATTTCCCCATCCTCCTTCAAATTGCTTGGCTTAAAATTCAAATGTTAGTTCCTTGTGAAACTCTCCCTCCTACTGGCATGAGAGAATTAATGTATTTCTGAAAGTAAGCAATTTGCTCCTTTCTGCAGACACAGACAAATAGAAAACAAATCCTCACTGCAGGATTAAATGCTATGACGAAATCTAGTTGTGTTTCGGACAAAGAACAGAAGGATTACTTAAATGGTAGAATCAGTGTGGTGGGCTCCTGGCAAAGTTGGGAACAGGGACAGAAGTAGAGACATTGGTTTTAAGCAAATGACTAGGCGTGGAGAACAGAGGCAGAAGTCTTAGAGAAAAATGAGTATTTTTGTAGAGGATTTTGGTTAAAGCAAAGTGTTGACTTTAAAATTTGACATTGGGCTGGGCACAGTGGCTCATGCCTATAATCCTAGCACTTTGGGAGGCCCAGGCGGGCAGATCACGAGGTCAGGAGATCGAGACCATCCTGGCTAACACAGAGAAACCCTGTCTCTACTAAAAATACAAAAAATCAGCTGGGTGTGGTGGCGGGCACCTGTAGTCCCAGCTACTTGGGAGGCTGAGGCAGGAGAATGGCGTGAACCCGGGAGGCAGAGCTTGCAGTGAGCCGAGATCGAGCCACTGCACTCCAGCCTGGGCGACAGAGCAAGACTCTGTGTCAAAAAAAAAAAAAAAAAAAAAAAAAAAAAAAATCACATTGCCATCAGGCACGAGAAGCAGAAGACTTTTGCTGAGTGGAATATTGTTCTGTGTATGGCACAACAAGGGAACTTCCTGGATGTTCTAGGGAAGGGATGGGCAAACTTTGACCCTAAAGAGCCAGGTGGTAAAGAGCTTGTGGGCTATATGGTACCTTACAACTTCCTGACTTCACATTATAGCATGAAAGCAGTGATAGACAATGTGTAAACAAATGAGTCTGACAGAGTTCCAAACTTGATTTATTGGACACTGAAATCTGAATTTCATATAGTTTCCACATGTCTTGTTACATATTTTTTGTCAACCATTTAAAACTATAACCATTTTTAGCTTGAAAGTTATACCAGAACAGGCAGTGAGATGTATGTGACCCTTTCACAGTTTGCCAACCCCTGTTATATAGAGTGCAGCTTCTGTTCCTACAAGAAAATGAGCAACCTTTTATGTCTAGATATTCTTCTGTAAGCAGCAACAAGCAGGCATAGTGGAGAGTTATATAGGGAAGAGAAGTTTCCTTGGGGGAAGCAGTGTCATATCTGCAGAATTCTCAGCTCCCACTGGCCCAATATTCATGGGCCCGAGCTTGATTAAAAAATACTTTTTTTTCTTCATGAATCAACATTTAATGATAATGTTTCTACTTGATGTTTCAGTGACAGAAGTGCAAATTATGCATGAAATTGATGTACATTATTCCATAATGAAGTAATCTGATAGAAAAACACATTAGGTATTTATAATGACAACAAGCCATTTATAACTGTTAGGACATTTTGAAAAGGAGAACCATATCCCTGAAAACATGAATGACTTGAAATTGGAGCTATTTAGTTGTGACCAGGGAGATGGAGCATTGTGTTCCAGCACTGCCCAGTTGCCTTTATGGTCATAAATTTTAAAATGATGAAAGACAGTTCTTTGTATTTCTTGCTCTGTGACATCATTTTCTGAATGATAATAAATAGTGCATTCCTCTTCTGCATTTGCAACCATCACCACACTTTGGGGCTGCAATATGCTGATAAACAATATGCTGTTTATGCTGATAATATTCTGGAAATATGCTGATAAACAAATGGTTATGAATTTGAATGTGAATTTGTCAAATACTCTGTGGATTTAAGTATCTTATTATTCAGACCTTGTGGGTACTCCACAAATTATTAAGCTTAAGTTATGCCTTCTCAATTCTGAAGTATCTACCTTCTACCTGCTTTTAAAACTTTACGTTTTATACACACTGATTCCATATCAGTTTCCACAAAAGTACATCCTCTTGTCAGTAAGCTTTTGTAGGTTTAACATTAAATGTCAACGTAAGTGGAGCTGCTCTGTACAGATCATAGATTTTTAGAGCTGAAGGTAGCCTCAGAGATGACCTAGCCCAACTGCCTCATTTCACACCTGAAGGAAATAACAGCAAAGTGACTTTGTAATTCATTAGTTTCACCATTGGCTATAGGTGGTTTCTATTTTACCTTATACTGAAACTTGGCCCTCCACTATACAGTCTGAAATGCTTGGTCAGCAGTTCATAAGAGAGACAAATTATTCTCAGCATCTCTTCTATAGCCTCTCTTTTTCTAATAAATATATCTGAGAGATGAGGAAATCACAAGCGGGTTGGATTAGGAACTTTCTTTTTCATTTAGCCCATGGCTTTGAATCTTGATACTAGAAACTATTCCATTAATATTGTTACTTTTTAAAAAAACATTTTTAAATTCAATTTTTAGATTTGGAGGCACACGTATGTGTTTATTCCATGGGTAGATTGCGTACTGTTGGGGATTGGGATATTACTTTATTAAGACAGTAAATTGGGCATGGCGCTGTGGCTCATGCCTGTAATCCCAACACTTTGGGAGGCCGAGGTGGGCAGATCATGAGATCAGGAGATGGAGACCATCCTGGATAACATGGTGAAACCCTGTCTCTACTAAAAATACAAAAAATTAGCCTGGCGTGATGGCAGGTACCTGTAGTCCCAGCTACTCAGGAGGCTAAGGCAGGAGAATGGCATGAACCTGAGAGGTGGAGCTTGCAGTGAGCTGAGATCGTGCCACTGCACTCCAGTCTGGGCGACAGAGTGAGACTCTGCCTCAAACAAACAAACAAACAAACAAACAAACAAAAAGACTAGTGATGGGGTAAAGGTCAATGCATACAGGAAGCAACAGTTAATATAAAGGCATCTAGTTGGGACAACTGTGTCACACAGAGAATGATCAATATTTGTCTTTGGGCAGGCAGTAAAACTGTGTGAAACTGCAGAACTGATCTCTGAATTTGGGGCAGGATCCAATTTTTGGGAAGAACTCTAGCAAGACATAACCACATCTTCAGTGGGGGTTTAGAGGGCTAGGAATGAGAATTTTCTAGAACTCATTCTAGGGGAGAGGAACCTAGAGAGAAACCCAGAGACCTTAGAATGGAAAAAAGGCAATGAGAAAGGGGAGGAAAAGCAGTTGAGTAATGCAACATTTAAGCTCACATTTCCTCTGGCCTTAGGGAGTGCGTGCTCAAAGAAGTCACTCACACAGATATGCAGAGGTAGCAAAGGCAGGGTTGAGGGCAGTGGCCTGGTCTGCCCTGTCACTCCAGTGTAGATTTTCCTTAACCATTGTGCATGAGCCCTGTCTGTTTTTTGCACGGTCTGTTGAGTCTAGCAATGCTTACTTTCTCTCCAGAGATTTTCAATTTGGAAAGTTTTGTGATTCCGTGAAAACCAATTCTTCATGAAATCTGGAGATAACGTTTTTTTAACTGTTTTTATTGCAGAGGAAATAATAGACAATAGCATTCCATTTCCTAAATACCTATTACTAATATAGTAGAGCTATAGAAAATGAAATGGCCTTTTATGTATTTAGGTTTGCACTCATAGGGTTATCAGAGTATCAGCCAATGGGTTTTGCTTCAGTAATTCTTGTGTCAGCTTTCGATTATTAGCACTATTGCTATTTGTAAATACCTGAATCATAAAAAGTATTTTAAAAATATAACGTTTCCTTAAAAATCATTGAAAAACCCAGTCTCGGAGGTGGAAGTGATCTGGTCCTTTCTTGACTCACCTTTGCTCCTAGTAGATGAGCCTCTCACCAGAGTGCTTTCTTTTGCTTGGTCTCAGTTCTGCTTTTGGGCAATTCCTCAAGATCATGAGCAGGATCTTGGGTCAGCTTCGTGCCCATCTTGCTGCTGTTTTTCCTGTTAAGCAGGATGCCCGTATGTGGATCTGGGTGAAGCTTCACATGCCTAACAATGGCATATCCTTATCGGTGCAGTGATTTTATTTACATCCCCAAGGTGGGAACTCAATAATTCCATTCTATAGGATCTCAGCTGATCTAATTTCTGGGAGTGCTGCTTGCTGAGATGTAGTTACTTTGGGCAGGTTTTTGAACCCTGACTCATGTAACTCTGGGCCTTTTTGACCTGTCATCTGAGGTTCCTTCCTGACTATCTGAAACCTACGTTCTATTTTTTGATCTCTTAATTCTATGCAAATTTTGGGTGTGGAGCTTGATCTGCACAACTTATTTTCTTCACCTGTTTTCGACTTCTTTGCATTCTGTCGTGATCTTCAAACTTCTCTTACTTGTTCTACGAGTAAGAAGCCTCTTCTAGGCTCTGATTCAGTGCTGGTGTACTTATTGCTCCCAAATCATTTCCTAGCCTCTATATAGATGGCAGTGTCTTG